AGAGTTCTGATTCCCGCCAGAGCTGGGAATGGGAAACCGAGACGCTCGTAGATCCGACCAACACCAGCTTGGACAGTGGTAGCCTCGGCAAGGCAAGAGCGCAGTCTGGCAGCCAGAGTCTATACCCCTGCCCGTTTAGGAAACGGAATCCAGTGAGGTTCAATGTCCGTGACCACGAGCGCTGTGCCAAGGCCATTGGTTCCATCTCTGAACTAAGGTGGGCGAGGAGGATTCTGTTTCTTGGGGGCCAAACTGACAAATGCAGGCACCACCTCATCCTACATCACAGGGCCGTGCAGTCTCTCTTCCGATGCCCACGCTGCAAGCTGGGACTCGACGACCACATGGCACTCGAACACCATCTGACGATCCCCAAAGCTGAGATGTGTGAGGTTGGCCCGGCAGTGTTGGGCAACCCCGAGGACGGCATGAGCGATGAGATGCACAGAGCACTGGCCCAGAGGCATTACGGTGTAGAGAATTGGACCTGGGCAGAGATATGGCGCTTGCTATTTCCTGAAGATGCTGACGTCCCAGCCCCAGGTACTGTCTCCCCATGAACGCCACGTTGGATGCCGTACTCACACGCATGCAGAGTTCCAACCGGTTGTCGAGCTCATTGAGATGGCGCACGTGTTTGACGAGGGCCAAGAAGTGTTGAAGGCTGCTTTGCAGGAGAAGCTCAGGCTCCTGCTCCCCCGCGGAATCGATGACCACTACTGCCACTTCCTCGCCGCACAGCTCGACCTCGTCTTCGAGACGCACCGGGCAAACATGCTGCGGAAATGCCTAGGCCGCGACCGCACGACCGAGCAACAAGGCCTCCCCAACCGAACGAACCGCAAGTCGCGGCGGAACACCCTGCTCCAGAACCTCCAACGCCGCACCTCCGACCCGCCCGCCGCGCCCACAGCCCACAACCACACGCGGACATTCAGCACCAGACACGCACACCGCCCGCCCACCACGCCGCCGCAGTTCCGCTCCCGCAAGACTGCACTGTCCGCAGCAGTCCACTCACCAGCCGACCCCACCGCCGCCGCCCCGACGACAACAAGCCCAACAAACCCGCACGACAACAACAACCCCCGTGACGCACGCGACGACTCGGACACGGGAATATCCCGCACCAGCCACAAATCCGAGCAGTGCGGCTGCAGCAGGGACGGCCGGGCCGATGCAGAGCCCTACTACCCGCGGCTTCGTCACCGCGCGTCGCAGAGGGCTTTTGGAGGGGGGGAGCATTGCCACGTGCAGCCGCGGTTGAGTGTCAGGACGGATGGGCTGGGGGGGGTTGGGGGAGGGCGGTTCTCGCCGGAGTCGTTTAAGCAGCGGGTTTTGAGGAGGATGGGTGGTTAGGGTAGGTGGGGGGGCTTGGAGGTTGCTGTGGGGGTTGCGTGTTGGTCGTGTTGGATGAGGGGGGGGCCGGGTGGTAAGGGGGTTAATGTTAATAGTCGTGCGCTGTTGATGTATAGGCACTGTCAGTGGGGGCGGCAGCGCAGATCTGTATCCATACACGGCAAGAGCGACGGCAATGCTGTTGTGTGCAAACTTCGAACTGGCGAAGCACACCAGATCCCTAGACTGAGGTTGTCTGGCACACCAATCCCCCTGATCGAGGTTGTCTTGGCACGGAAAGTCGGCCGGTACAGCAACTCCTGGAGTCCTGTTCGCCAAGTAGATGAATAACAGCATCAAACGGGTATCGCTTACACCAGGCCATACATAGAATGAGTTCCCCCCTTCCCTTCCGCCCCCATCCCAACCCACCACCCCCTCCTAAACCGCCTTCCTAGACACCCCCTCTCCCGTCAACACTCCTATCCCAAACCCGCTCATCCCCCTCCCCTAGCGCCTCTTGCTCCCCCCGCACCAAAGGCGGCGACGCGGCAATCAACCTCTCCCCCTCCCCCTCCCCCTCCCCGGCCCCGTCACGCCCCAACCCCGACAGCGGGCACCCACTGCCCCTCCACCCCGCGCCAAAAGCCGGGCTGCCGCTCCTGCTCCCATCTTCATACCCGTCTCCAACCCCGTCCCCGTCCCCGGCCCCGCCCCCGTCTGCATACCTACCGCCACCCCCACCTGCTCCCGCAGCCGTAGCCGTCGCAGCAGCAGCAACAGCCGCGGCAATGAAGAGCCCTGCCCCGACACCGGCCGGCAGCGTCGCGGCTGATGCTGGCGCGGGTCTTGGACCGAGCGCGTCTGCTGTCGTGTGTGGATATGGCGCCGTGGCGGGCGGGGCTGTCTGCCGTTTTTTGGTGGCGGGCCTGGCGGGGTCTGTTCGGGCGGACGGCCCGTGTGCTTTGGGGGGTTCGGAGGGGGGTGGCGGTGGGGTTGTGATGCGTGGTGGGCCGGTCGCGGCTGGGGAGATGGGTCTGCTGCTGCTGTGGTTGGGTTGGTTGTTGAGGTCGTGGTCGAGGGGCTCGGCGGTGATGGCGACGCTGGTGATGGACTGGGGTTTGTGGTGGTTGCCGGGGTGCGGGCTGTGGAGCGGGTCGTCGTAGAGGAGGGTGTCGTCGCTGGAGTGGGTGGAGCCGCCGACTGCGACTACGGAGGTGCCGGTGTTGGTGCGGGATGGGTGCGGCGAGGGGCCCGGGGAGTCGGGGTCGTCGATGGCGGTGTAGTCGTTTTGGGTCTTGAGGCGGTGGCTCTTGCGGCGCAACTGGACGCGTTCTGTTTGTCTCGGGTCAGCGGGGAGGGGGAACGCATGAGAAACACGGGCCTTACCGCTGAAGGCCTGGAGAAAGGTAAAGACGGTCAGGGACATGAGGAGGAGCGGCACGAGCTGGCCAAAGGTGGAGGGGTCGTTTTCGGGGTTGAGGTTGCCGTGTCTCTCGAGCCTGGCGTCGTTAGCCATGGCCCGCAGCCAGACGGAACAAGAACGCACCAGTCCGATCGGTCGACCCACCAGCGCAGCCGGAGCACATGGACGGTTGCGATGGCGATGGTCCACATGGAGAGCGCGATGCCGATGACGAGATACACGCCGAAGAAGATGCTGAAAAGGGGCGCGGCCCAGTGGAGTGCCGGGAAGGCCGCGGCCCACCATCTGGCGAGCTTCTTTCGCGCGCCGCCGTCCCTCCCCCGGCGGATGGTCCGGCCCAGGCTGGCGAGCACGGCAAGGATGTAGAAGATGAACATGATCAAGTACTGCGTCCAGCCATGGATCTGGCCGCCGAGGAAGGACTCAACCGAGCCCGCCTTGAACGCCAGCTCGATCTCCCCCTCCAGCAGCAGATCGCCGGACTGGAAGCACGCGGCCGGGAGAAGCATCGGGCTGTACGTCTCCGTGTCGAGCGGCACTTTGGTGGGGAAGCCGCGCGACCCGGAGCCCTGGTTCGACAAGATGATGCCGGTGACGACAAACACGAGGGTGGTGACGGTGACGCGGAGGACGCCGACATAGGGGTGCTGCCAGTAGTGGCGCGAGACGGTCACGGCCAGCAGATGGGTTGCGCAGGTGACGAGCAGGATGTTGGCCACGATGTTGTAGTGGTACGCGGAGACGGTGCAGGCCTTGGAGTAGCGCAGCGCGATGGCGTAGGCGCCGCCGGTGAAGACCTGCTGGTCGCTGCAGTTGATGACGAGAGTCTCCAGGATGCCGGCGATGCTGATCTTCCAGTTCGCCTGGTCTTCCCTGCACCGCGTGAGCATGGCGACGGACACGCGCGGGTTCGTGACCTACTCCTCCTTGTCTATCATGACGGTGACCTTTCTCCATCTCAGGTTTTCCCTGAGCGAGACGTGGAAGATGTTTTTGGTGAACCACCAGATCGTGCTCAGCGTGCTCAGCCATATTGCAGTGATGGTGACGCAGAGGAACGCCCCGAGAACCTGTGGCCTGTCAGTGACATCCCCGACGGCGACGGTAGGACAGGCGTGCGTACGCCGATGCCTGCGATGTCAGGATCCCCCGGGAACTCGCCGGGCAGCATGCCGCCGATCGCCAGGACGGTGGTATGGCTGTTGTCCCAGACCACGGTGCAGTTCGGCGTGACGCCGTAGTGGGCGGCACAGTTCGCCGCCGACACATATTCGATCATGGGCATGCTGTGCAGCGGGCGGAGACGTCTCCAATCTCAATCTCAGACCCAGGTGCAGGTGCAGGCGACAGTGGATTCGAATCTCGGGTCCTCGACAGCTTCCAGTGGCCAGCCTTTCCGCGTCTTCGCGGCATGTCCGTCCCAGCAGCGTGGAACACACAACAACAACATCCGACATGGTGTTCTCGCGCAAGGGCTGCGGGCCGGGCGCGACCTGCAAGGCTTCGACACCATCACAGAACCAACTGCATAACCATCGGGGGAGTGGCCAATCGCCTGGCTCGAGGTCGCTGGCCCCGGGGCCTCGAGCCAACAGACCGCAGGGGCCCCGGGACAAACCGTGGCAAACCTGCGCACGCAAGAGTCGCCGCCGCAGTCGCGAGGCCAGCGGTCGGCTGGAGCCAGCCGAGTCACGGACTCACGGCCGGTGCGGGGGTGGCACAGGTGCAGCTGCAAGCGGAGTAGTCCAGGAATAAATGCCCGCAGGCTGCTTGCTGCGTGACAGTGACGACCCGGCGCGCCACTTGTCGCACCATCGCGATCGGGATCAGAATCACGGGCGGGGTCGAGCCAGTCCCGTCTTCGGAGTTGGGTCCGAACTCCCGGCAATCTGGCGTCGCCTCAACAGCCCGGTACGTGGACCACTCGCCATCACCCATCAATCCCCTTGTGGTGTAGTTGGCTATCACGTTCGGCTGTAAAGGAATTTATCGCTACCGAAAGGTCACCGGCTCGATTCCGGTCGAGGGGACTCTCGCTTTTTGCCCATGCGCGTTCCCCGGATTCTGGTGATCTGTTTTGTGTGTGGCTGTTGAGGCCCACTGCTTTTGCAAGGAACAGCTTTTTGCCCTCCCCTCCCAGAACCCCACTTGCATCTTGATCCTGAGTCCTGACTCGCCCAGTCCCACCACCGTTGGACATTGTTCAATCAGACTCTCGGACCGGCTCCTCACCGACGGGAGCTTGGCTCAGTTGGAAGAGCGTCAGTCTCATACTCTGTATGATCCAGCTAAACGTTGGAGTAATCTGAAGGTCGTGAGTTCGAGCCTCACAGTTCCCATTCCTTTTGCCTGCGTCGCCTTTGTTTCCATTGATATGGATGTAGTGGATGGATGAGATTTCCTTTTGAATGGTGGTGGGTGTGGGTGGTGCCAGTGGCAGGCGCAGCAACACAGTGGACGATGCACAAACCAGACCTGAAACTCGAAAAAGCCTGCCTTGCTGCTGGCAATTTGCATATCTTTGCACCATCAGTTGCATATCCTGGCCGCATCTTGGGCCGCGAGATCAGTCGAGATGGTCCAAGTCGTCTTCAACCCAGCGGACCCGCACCACAAGATCCCCGAGCATCGTCCCAGAGATGGCGACACCGCCGTCGTCGTCCGAGTCCTCAAATTCGGAACTATCCACTGGCCCCGCGGCATAGATCTGGTCACGGGATTCCGCACCGGCGGTGCCCAGTTGCGGGCTTGGTGTTTGTGAGCTTGGTGTTTGTGAGCTTGGGCTGTGCGGGCTCCACCGTGCTGGGTGGTGGGAACCGGGGGTGGTGGACCATGTCTCGGGTCGGGTCTGTGCATGCTCCTGCTGCTCCTGCTCCTGCTCCTGCTGCTTCAACCCGACGGCGAAGATGAGACAAAGGATGTTCAGGGTGAACGCAATTTGCCCCTGCTGCGAGAGCATGGAGAACGGATGCACCCGCGGCGGCCGCGCTGGTCTGGACGCGGGCGGGTCGGGTGGCCTCGGCCCGGACGGCGGGGATACTAAAACGGCAGCATCCCTTGCGGCGGCCGTCTTGGCAGCCGTTTTGGCGCCTACGTGCGAGGGCTTGGGCGGGGTGTGGGAGTCGAAGAGATGGCGCATGAGTTTGTTGCGGGTCTGGAACTGCTGCCCGCAGCGCCGACAGGTCTTGCGCGACGGGGATTGGTTTCGGGCCGTGCTGGCGGCGGTGGACTGCCGGCGCGACCGCCCCGGAGATGATGGCGGCCTGTCCATTGCGGAAATCAATGGGATGAGTCGGTGGCCGGCGGCGCCCAGGTCTGGAGGGCGGCTTATTCGACTTCTGCGAGGCTCGAGTTGTGGCACTCGGTTCCTTGCAAAATTGGGTGCCTTGGAAAAGTGGCGGGGCAAAGTGGGGTGGGCCCTCCCGATGAACCCCTCGAGCTGCCCCAGCCCGGACCCGGAGACACAAGGGTCGGGGGACGCAGAAAGAATTAATTCTGTACCAAGCTGTAAAGTTAAGTCAACACCTATTTAAACGGCCCGACTTCAATCTGCTCGAACGCGCGAGTCGGTAGCGTGGAGTCTGGGCCGAGCATGACTGCACGGGTAGCAGCGGCAGCAGACAAAAGCTGTTGAGAGTTATTTAACTGATCCTCAACGGAACCAAAAGGTCCCCAACCTCCATCCATCCAAAGGTTATTACCTACTTACAGCACAGCATGGTTTCAAGATAGAGCAACCCACAAGAACTGTCAAGCATCCAGAACCTGTTCTTTCCTCCTGTTTCTGTTTTGTCCTTCCCCCCTTCCACACATGTTTCCTCATTTTCATGTCTACGGGAGTATCGTGTCTATCATTTCCATTATTCTTTTTTCCATCCGTTTCCCTGAAGTTCCTTGATTTCTCGCTTTTGCGCCCCAGTTTGTATTCTTCGTCTGCTGCCATTCAATTACCTTTAATTTCATCGGCCCGGTCCGCAGCACCCGGTCCGCACCCCGTGGCCTACCGCGGCACGCGGACCAGTGATGTTACATGTACCGCCCAACCGCCGCGCAGGATGCAGCTGTGACCAGAACCAGCAAATCCCAGCCTCGTCTCGGGAGTGTGCATGAGCCCCCACCATGTCTTGTTACAGACCCTTGAGGACTCCGCTGTTGGCCAGCATGCGGAAAAGACGATACGGGGTTGGGCTCGGCATCTGGACTTTGTGGACTGGCATATATACAACCGGTTGCATGGAGCACGCCCTCGCGGCCCCTCGGGGAAATGCACCTTCACAGCTTCTGGCTGTCGCCCTGGGTTCCTCATATTCCCGAGACGTGACGGGGATGGCCGAAATGGCTTCAACCGGGCCCCAGACGTCCTTCTCTCGCCGTAACATTGCGCCCCTGACAACCTACTTCACGCCGCCCTCATCATGCGCGACCGGCTTCATCCCGGCCCCCAGCTCATCCGAGGGCGCTGAATATGTCGAGGACATTCCCGAGGACCTGGCTTTTGCCTACCTCTCGGACTGCTCAAGCTCCCGGCCATGCCTCCCTGGCACTGCCAGCTGGGAGCCCTACGCATTCTATTCCCCTGGCTGGGTGTGCCCCGTTGGTTGGACGACTGCCACCGTCGTGGGCCACAACATGACTAACAGCGCCGTTCCCACCGAGGTTCTCGGCCGGCTACTCGACTCGGAAACCGCTGCATTCTGCTGCCCGAAGTAGGTTCTGTCGTGCTCTTCTCGCCGGCCCGTAGGGGTTGCTGTGCTGACAGTACTGCCTCCCGCAGCGGTTTCAAATTCTCCTTTGCCACAATCATCGGGTTCGACTTCAAGCGTCCGAACTTGTGCATGTCAACAATGGTTGCCGGTGACTTTTTGTACAAGACCTGTGGCGCTTCCGGTTCCACGGCCCGTATCAAAAGCGTCGGCAGGACCGAGTCCCTGATATCAACATGGACTGCCGTCAAGACGGAGTTCGTCAACGACGGTGCAGATCGTACCATGACATACTGGTCAACGTACACCGTCACCACGACATACGAACAGCTACCCCTGCAGCAGGCCATCACAGCCGCCCCTGCGGTACAGCTTGTCTGGCGGTCGGAGGACACTCCCATGGTCGCCAGCCCCCGCCCTCCCCCGCCGCCCTCAACCTCGTCTGGTGCGGCTCCACGCTCTCCCTCCTCGCTGTCGACCGCCGCCACAGCAGGAATCGCCATCGGCGCCGTCATCGCCGCCCTCCTCCTCGCCCTCGCCATCTTCCTCTGGTTCCGGCGCCGCCAGCGCAAGCTCGCCAACGCCCTCCCCGTCCTGACAGGCGGCCCCTGTGGCCGTGGCCCCCTAAATCCAGCCTC